ACAATGGGATGTATTGCACCCCTTGTGTCTCTTACGCCACATTAATTTGATCTAAACTATCTAATAACAGATTTGTAGTGAGAAAACACTTACAGCAAGGATAAGATAGTAAAAGGTGCACAAGGGCAAATCCGACAGTACTCCCCATTCACTCTCAAAGAGCACATTCCCAGGTGGTCTAGTGGTTAGGATTTGGCGCTCTCACCGCCACGGCCGGGGTTCGATTCCCCGTCTGGGAAGGACATTTTTTGTTTTTCTTCCTGAATATTTGTCTATTGAAAATGTCCCAAGAGTACAAACTATTGCATTGACTAATCAGGAAAGCTTGGGATTTGCATACACTCCATTTCCACCTAACCATAAACGTCACCACCAGTCGCCGGCACACAGGGCGTTGAAATGTTCTTTACAATCAAATGTCCTATAACAAACATCGTGCAAAATCAAATACCCGTGCTGTCTCTGCCCTCTGCAGCACGTGTCTCGTGATAATCCGGAGCCCGCAGCTAGTACTTTCAACAATGGGATGTATTGCACCCCTTGTGTCTCTTACGCCACATTAATTTGATCTAAACTATCTAATAACAGATTTGTAGTGAGAAAACACTTACAGCAAGGATAAGATAGTAAAAGGTGCACAAGGGCAAGTCCGACAGTACTCCCCATTCACTCTCAAAGAGCACATTCCCAGGTGGTCTAGTGGTTAGGATTTGGCGCTCTCACCGCCACGGCCGGGGTTCGATTCCCCGTCTGGGAAGGACATTTTTTATTTTTCTTCCTGAATATTTATCTATTGAAAATGTCCCAAGACTACAAACTATTGCATTGACTAATCAGGAAAGCTTGGGATTTGCATACACTCCATTTCCACCTAACCATAAACGTCACCACTAGTCGCCGGCACACAGGGCGTTCAAATGTTCTTCACAATCAAATGTCCTATAACAAACATCGTGCAAAATCAAATACCCGTGCTGTCTCTGCCCTCTGCAGCACGTGTCTCGTGATAATCCGGAGCCCGCAGCTAGTACTTTCAACAATGGGATGTATTGCACCCCTTGTGTCTCTTACGCCACATTAATTTGATCTAAACTATCTAATAACAGATTTGTAGTGAGAAAACACTTACAGCAAGGATAAGATAGTAAAAGGTGCACAAGGGCAAGTCCGACAGTACTCCCCATTCACTCTCAAAGAGCACATTCCCAGGTGGTCTAGTGGTTAGGATTTGGCGCTCTCACCGCCACGGCCGGGGTTCGATTCCCCGTCTGGGAAGGACATTTTTTGTTTTTCTTCCTGAATATTTGTCTATTGAAAATGTCCCAAGACTACAAACTATTGCATTGACTAATCAGGAAAGCTTGGGATTTGCATACACTCCATTTCCACCTAACCATAAACGTCACCACTAGTCGCCGGCACACAGGGCGTTCAAATGCTCTTCACAATCATATGTCCTATAATAAACATCGTGCAAAATCAAATACCCGTGCTGTCTCTGCCCTCTGCAGCACGTGGCTCGTGATAATCCGGAGCCCGCAGCTAGTACTTTCAACAATGGGATGTATTGCACCCCTTGCGTCTCTTACGCCACATTAATTTGATCTAAACTATCTAATAACAGATTTTTAGTGAGAAAACACTTACACCAAGGATAAGATAGTAAAAGGTGCACAAGGGCAAGTCCGACAGTACTCCCCATTCACTCTCAAAGAGCACATTTCCAGGTGGTCTAGTGGTTAGGATTTGGCGCTCTCACCGCCACGGCCGGGGTTCGATTCCCCGTCTGGGAAGGACATTTTTTGTTTTTCTTCCTGAATATTTGTCTATTGAAAATGTCCCAAGACTACAAACTATTGCATTGACTAATCAGGAAAGCTTGGGATTTGCATACACTCCATTTCCACCTAACCATAAACGTCACCACTAGTCGCCGGCACACAGGGCGTTGAAATGTTCTTCACAATCAAATGTCCTATAACAAACATCGTGCAAAATCAAATACCCGTGCTGTCTCTGCCCTCTGCAGCACGTGGCTCGTGATAATCCGGAGCCCGCAGCTAGTACTTTCAACAATGGGATGTATTGCACCCCTTGCGTCTCTTACGCCACATTAATTTGATCTAAACTATCTAATAACAGATTTTTAGTGAGAAAACACTTACACCAAGGATAAGATAGTAAAAGGTGCACAAGGGCAAGTCCGACAGTACTCCCCATTCACTCTCAAAGAGCACATTTCCAGGTGGTCTAGTGGTTAGGATTTGGCGCTCTCACCGCCACGGCCGGGGTTCGATTCCCCGTCTGGGAAGGACATTTTTTGTTTTTCTTCCTGAATATTTGTCTATTGAAAATGTCCCAAGAGTACAAACTATTGCATTGACTAATCAGGAAAGCTTGGGATTTGCATACACTCCATTTCGACCTAACCATAAACGTCACCACCAGTCGCCGGCACACAGGGCGTTGAAATGTTCTTCACAATCAAATGTCCTATAACAAATGTAGCAGGGTACCTTATATTCTTCCTATAGTTATATCATTATTCATACATCATCATCATAATCATCTATATGTTCAATGTTTGTCTTGTCTACAGTTGAATATCAGTATCTAACTCTTTAAACAACTCAACACCCTTATTTTCAGTCTCTGGGAATCTCTCACCAGATCTTCCCCTTCAACCTTCTGTCTATCTTTAGACATTTTTTACACCTGTAGGGTTTCCCTCAGTCTATTTATATCTTGCATTAAGCACTTCCTTTGATGCTTAATGCAATCTGTCTTCTAATTGGCCACCCTGGTCCTCTACAGGTAGCTTCCTTCCATACCTGACTTCCTCCTCACTTCATGTGCTGCTGTTGAGGAGGAAGGACATTTTCTTTTCTTCAGGTATGGAATGGCCATATTTCAATCTGTTTTCATCTGCTTCTGTCAGAAATTAATATCTATATTAGGGTGCTGAATTAAATTGAATAATATATATATAATATCATTTAAAGTAATATTAAATTAGTAAATGGAATATTGATATTATAAAACTTGCTTGTAAAATAATTAACCACATGGTCCATTTTGGACCATGTGCTTTCCAAGTATCCTATAATGAACATATAACAGTAATTTAACATTAAAGTTAGTTTTAGTATAGTTTATCAATGGCTTTTGTACTTTTATATTTAAGATAAATAATACCTGTAAACTTGCAAATATATGACTTCATGTGCTGCTGTTGAGGAGGAAGGACATTTTCTTTTCTTCAGGTAGTTCTTCAACAGCAGCCACCCCCCTTGAAATAAATCCATTATCACCATCTGCCTGTGTCTGTGTTTCCCAACGGCCCGAGCCGGATAAATACCACTACCCCGGCTACAAATTTGGCGCCCAACGTGGGGCCGTTGGCTGTCACTCTGGACACAGGCTTCATCAACTTCATCGTGTTCTGGGGGTAATCCTTCATCACTGTTGAAGGATTCTTCATTGAAGATTCAGGATGTTTCTTCCATGCAACTTGTGGAAGTTTTGTGTGTAGCGTTGAGCTATAACTCTGACTAAAATTAAATCTTGATCCTCAATCGTCAGTGATCTACACTTTGTTATGACGTTGAACTTTTCGTCTGCATCAGTGCTAAAATTGAGGTGCTTCCTCCAATTCCTGGAAGTGTGACTTTTATTTTAACTGATTTACATGTATTTGTCATTTTGTTCACACATGAACTTTTGATCTGTGAACTGTGACCATGAACTTTGTTTACATTCTGAACTAAATTTTATCAGAATGTCATTAGTTGACTGTTTCATTGTATATATATATATGCTTGATATGTTCATCACCATTACTTGAACATTTTTGAAACTTTATCTTGTCACACTTGTGATCATCATATTTTCCACTTAGGAAGCACTGTTGACAACTGTAAAGTTGTACAGCTGTGTGACCCACTTGTTGCCATTCTGAGTTATCATTGCAGAATTCTCATTTAATTAAATTCTTATTTAAAATCAACCTATATCTTTACAGAATTTTGATAAATTCTATTTATACTGCCCTTTAACTGTGATAGCTAATTGTGATATATTGTAATTTTCATCTTCATTCAATGAATTTTATTAAATTAATTTGCAGTTTACTGGTATAAGATAAGCCATTTAATTTGTTAAGTCACTTGGATACCTTTTGGCAAAGTAAGTACCCTAAAATAGTTATTTCATATTTCTTACTTTAAATTTCTCACTCTTCTTTCCTGTCTGAAATATTTTTCACTGCTGGGAAATTCCTTATCTGCTCAACTAACATTTGCCATATCATGTCTTGTCCTTGTGCCGTCCTATTCATTCATACCATTTCATCATCTTAGTTCATCATTCAAATCAAAACAAATTCATTACTCTTGTGTTGATTACTTCTCGTTCGCAACTTATATATTGCTTCATACTTAGTTCTTCCTATATATATTCCTGCTCGCAACATTTTGGTAAGATTGTTGTGATCTTTGCCGTAATTGACTTAGTTTATCCTACACATCTGCTTGGTAACCAGATTGTGGTAGCTTAGTCATGTAATATTTCTTATTACAACAAGTGGTCAGTTGTTCTTACACCTACCTTGCCACTTACCTTTTTCGTATTACTTACCTTAGCAAACTAAAGTTGTATTTTTCCCTTTTGTTCTGGAGACTTTGTCAGATACTTCGTATTTTGGTATTTGGTTTCTGCTTTTCCAGTTTAGCTCAGTGAGGACTTTTGGTTCCCTTACTTCTATTTTTGGCTAGCTGCAGTTCATTGTTCTTGTACCTTGTGGTGCACTAGATGCTGAACTTCAGACGCATCCATTTTGTATCCTTTGGTGAGGAGCTCATAGTTTGTTGATGTTCAGATGTTTGTTGGATCTTAACTTGTGAGATTCTTGTCGCCTTTTAGGAGGTACTTCAGTTTTGATAGTGTCATATAGTTCATATTCCTCTCATATCAAACATCCTTGCACTTTAGTTTGTATCACCATGGCTGAAGCTAATGTAAGTGGGGACCCGGAGGTCGATGTGGTACTTAGCTGCCTTCAGCATCTGCATCCTTCGGTCCGCACTGGTGTGCTAAATAGACTAGCAGATGATATTGCAAATCAGCTGCAGCATCCCAATACGACATATCGTGTTACTGGTACTGGTGCACCAGGTCTTGGGTTGTCCAATACTTACACTATTCCACCTACAATATATACCAGTCCTAGGGTGGCATTACCTGTTCACTCCCCTAGGCCGGTACCTCATCTGCTTAGTCATACGCCACCATCAAGGTCACCTATGCCCACAGGTTCTGAGAATCTGTTTCAGATTTCTCCGGCGACTGTGAACCTTAGTCCTATGATGGACCTACCAGCTTCACTGCCTAGGCCTCATGGTTCAATTTACAACTTTGTTCAGCCTAGGGCAACTTCTACACCTTACCTGAATAGTTACCCATCACAACCTTCACACACACCGCATGAGTCTTGGCCTAGCCGCACTATTCCAACACCATATCCAGGTTATAATCCAACTACCTTTTATAGCCATAGTGTAGGTGCTCCTCCTAGACTTGTCACACCCTTTCAGCCTACTTACATGCCCATTATCAATTCTCCCAGTCCACGGTTGTCATCATTTTCTGGGGATGGGACCAAGGGTGAGGTCAAGTATAAGCAATGGCATTTAGAGATTGTTGGGTGTCGTAGGGAGAATGCATTCTCGGACACTTCAATTCTAAATGCCATGCGGAGGTCCGCCAAGGGTTCAGCTGCTGACCTACTTAGTGGGCTTTCAGAAACTGTTACCCTTGACACTGCTATTGAGCAGTTGGACTTAGTGTTTGGCAATGTGATGCCTGGCGAGACGCTTATGGAGCGTTTTTACACTGCCCGCCAGGAAAAGAATGAGTCTGTCGCTGTGTGGAGTTGCCGCCTCCGGGATTTGATCTCCAAGATAGAGGCATCTGGCACTTTACCACACAATGCTGCACCTAGCTTGCTTCGAAGCCGGTTCTGGATGGGTCTCACTCGTGATGACCTGAAGCAAGCGACTCGCCATCACTTTGATTCAGGTACGGACTATAACAAGCTGCTGCTTGCTGTCCGTAGGGTTGAGGAGGAGTTAGCCACCCCTGGGGATGCACAATCATGTCAATTGACTACCACTACAACTAGCAACAGACAACTGGATGATGTGCTATTCCGCCTAAAGGTGATTGATAAGAACCTTAGGTCTGTTGGGGATAGGGTTAACACCCTGGAGTATAAATCTCATAGGCCCTCAAATACAGCCCAGAATCAAGCCAATAAGGCCCAATCTCAGGCTCAGAATCTACCCCCTAGGTCTACCACTACAAATGTAGTTACACAAGGTAGCACATCACGTACACCATATGCTTCTCAATCACAGTTAGCCTCAAAAACTGAGGTACACTGTTATGATTGCGGGAAGATAGGGGTTAGGCGGCGTCACCCACAGTGCCCCGCTTTAAACTCCTAGGAGTCAATGTTATGGGGCGAACATTGGACTCCGACATTAGCTCCAATTCTGGGTTGCCATCAAATTTGATTGGTCCCGCAAACGTCACATCTGTTAGGGTAGAAGGCCACTTATGTAATGTTCTTGTAGACACAGGGTCCCAGGTTACCACTATGTCCGAGACATTTTACACAAATAACCTCCCTCAACATACACTCCATAGTCTAGGTTCACTCTTGAAGTTAAAAGGAGCCGGGGAAGCTAAGCTACCCTACTTGGGGTATGTTGAAGCTATAATCCTAATCCCTAGTGACTTCTTAGGTCAGGAAGTTGAGGTAACTATACCGATACTTGTAGTGCCCAATACTGACTACCACTTCAAGGTGCCTTTACTATTAGGGACAAATGTCATGACTGCTGCTGAAAGCCTGCATGGTGCACCAATAGCAGCCACTGCATCACCTTGGAGTCAGGCTCAGCAATGGCTCATTAGGCGTCGGGAAGACCTTAACCGGACTGAGTGTGTGCGGACAACCAAGCCAATTGTTATCCCTGCTTTATGTAATCAGATTATTGCAGGTATAAGCAGGGGTAAACCACCTCGGATTGGCATGCAGTTTTGTACTACAGCTGCCCCCACACTACCTGGTTCACTTAACCTTGTTAATGGGGTTGTGAATTTTATACCAGGACAGTCTACAAATAGGATTAAGGTTGAGGTTGCCAATCCATCTACCAAGGCTGTTACTATTCCAGCCAAGACAGTACTTTGTTGTTTAGAGCAAGTAGATGTCTTAGATGGTCTCTCCTCTACGGATGAGCCGGCTTTCACATCTGGCCCCGAGTCTAAAGACATTTTCAATTTAGAAACCCTGGGTCAGATACATACTCCAGAGGAAATAGCAAAGCTTCGCGATCTTCTTAGTGAGTTTGATGACATCTTCAGCAAGTCTGATATGGATATGGGCCACACAGACTTAGTCACTCACAGGATTGAGCTAACTGATGAACGTCCTTTCAGGGAAAGACATAGGCGCATTCCACCTGCATTGTATCAAGAGGTTAAGGACCATCTGAAGAACATGTTGGATGCTAAGGTTATTCGTCCTTCTTCTAGTCCTTATGCCTCTCCCGTGGTTCTTGTTCGCAAAAGGGACTCGTCTTTACGTTTCTGTATAGACTATCGCCAACTTAATAGTCGTACAGTTAGAGACTCTTATGCTTTACCACGGATTGAGGAGACCCTTGATGCACTTCATGGTGCCAAGTACTTCACTTGTCTTGACCTGAAGTCGGGCTATTGGCAGGTCGAAGTTGCTGAGGAACATAAAGCCCGTACTGCTTTTACGGTTGGTCCATTAGGATTTTACGAGTGTAACTCGATGCCTTTTGGTCTCACAAATGCTCCCGCAACTTTTCAACGTCTTATGGAGAGATGTATGGGCGACATCCATCTCCTACAGTGTCTCATTTACCTTGATGACATCATTGTGTTTTCAAAGACCTTTGATGAGCATCTGGAGAGATTACGTGCAATCTTTCTTCGATTGCGCAAGAATGGCCTCAAACTTAAGCCTTCTAAGTGCCAGTTCTTGCAGACCTCTGTGAAATATCTGGGTCACGTAATCTCTGAGGAGGGTATCACGACAGACCCTGAGAAGATTGCGGCACTGGAGACCTGGCCAGTTCCACAGAATGTGGATGATGTTCGTCGTTTTCTTGGCTTCTCTGGATATTATCGTCGCTTTGTGCCTAATTATGCCAAAGTTGCAAAGCCCTTGACAAATTTACTTGTTGGTCAATCCGGCAAAAAAAAGGAAAAATAGCAAACCCGACCAGAACTGGATATGGGGGGAGGAGCAGCAGTCGGCTTTCAGTGAGCTTGTTGGTAAACTTATCAGCGCTCCCATTTTGGCTTTCGCAGACTTCACTCAGCCATTCGAACTGCACATTGATGCAAGTGGCGATGGCTTAGGCGCGGTACTTTACCAAACCCAAAATAGCCAGAAACGAGTGATAGCCTATGCGAGCCGAGGGCTTTCCAAATCAGAGCGCAACTACCCAGCTCACAAATTAGAGTTTCTAGCTCTGAAATGGGCTGTCACCAGGAAGTTCCATGACTACCTGTATGGCAACCCATTCACCGTTAAGACCGACAACAACCCCCTCACTTACGTTTTAACATCAGCGAAATTGGATGCAACTGGACATCGTTGGCTCGCTGACCTTGCTGCTTACGACTTTTCTGTAGAGTATGTACCAGGGGCAAGGAACAAGGATGCTGATGCGTTGTCCAGGTTGCCACGTGAGGTCATGGATATCCAATCTGTGTCTGCGGTTTGCAACAGTCAGCAGACGTCTAGTGTTGTAGAGACGCTCTCACTTTGTCATGAGGTATTGAACTGTGTTTTAGCAGTTGATGATTTCGAGTCTACCAATGTTGGGACTGATCATCAGATGCTATCTTGTCAGCAGGCGGACCCCTCAATCTGCACGATTGTGGACCTTCTCCGTAAAGATCAGCGCCCTTCAAAGGAGTCTCTTAGGTCATTTGATCGTGACACAGCTTCAATCCTCAGGCAGTGGGATGCTCTCTCCATCAATAACAATCTCCTTTATAGGAGACAGAAGACTACAGAAGGTGATTATCCCTACTTTCAACTCATTGTCCCAGAGCCTCAACGAGAATCCGTCATTACTCATCTTCATGACGGGATGGGGCATCTGGGTAGGGACAGGACTGTGGCTCTCCTACGGACGAGGTTTTATTGGCCAGGAATGATGGGAGATGTCGAGAACCACATTCGTAGCTGCCAGAGGTGCATTCTTCGGAAAGCTCCTAATCAGACTGAGCGCGCACCATTGGTCAACATTCAGACCACTCAACCCATGGAAATGGTGTGTGTTGACTATCTCAGTCTGGAACCTTCATCTGGTGGTTACGAAAATGTTCTGGTCATTACTGACCACTTCACCAAGTATGCTGTTGCGATTCCAACTCGTAATCAAACAGCGCGAACAACAGCAAAGGCCTTGTTTGAGCACTTTATCGTACACTATGGCCTCCCTGAAAGGTTACATTCAGATCAGGGACGGAATTTCGAAAGTGATGTTATCAAACAAATGTGCAGCATACTTGGGATACAGAAAACAAGGACAACTCCCTATCACCCCATGGGGAACGGGTTATGTGAACGGTTTAACCGGACACTTCTTGGGATGCTCGGGACTCTGCAGGATCAGGAAAAGGCACGTTGGAAGGACCATATTGCTCATGTGGTCCATGCCTATAACTGTACCTTGCACGAGTCTTCTGGGTTCACGCCCTACTTTCTCATGTTCGGCAGACATCCTAGACTGCCTGTTGATGTTGCCTTTGGCACGTCTCTCGCCAACACTTCATCGCCATCTTATACGCAGTTTGCTGCTGATTTGAAGCGCAAGTTGACAACTGCGTATGAGCTCGCTACTCAAAACATGGACAAGGCCCGGGCCAAACAGAGGAAGACTTATAATCTGAAGGCTCGTGGTGCTACTGTTAAGGTAGGTGATGTTGTGTTGGTCCGCAATGTCAACATTCGTGGGAAACAGAAGCTTGCCGACCGATGGGAGAAAGATTTCTATGTGGTGGAATCACAGCCGAATTCTAATGTTCCTGTGTTTAAAGTCCGCAAGGAAGGCACTAGGGAGCATCGTGTACTTCACCGCAATTTACTCCTTCCCATTGGTTCGGATGGCCGTCCCATTCCTAAACCTCGGAGCCCTCCGCCTTCTCTAGGAGCTTCCGCTGTACCTGGTGATACCTCCAACACCGCTTTGGAGATTTCTACAACCGACCTGGATGTGGAAATTCCTTTATCTCCAGTGCCTGGGGGTTCTCCATTGGGTCAGCCGGTTGAAACTCCTTCGTTTCCAAGGTCACCACCAGCTCAATTATCTGGTGTTCCCTCTTCAATGACGCCATCTATGGTGTTGCCGTCACTCGAGTTGCCTGGAGGAATTTCGACTTCCCCAGTGCCTTCCAGCCCTTCCACTTCTGTTGTTCCAGAATTATCTTCTGTCACCCCACCAGTGGTTACAAGACCTGGCAGGTCACGCCAGAAACCAAAGTGGATGACTGACGGTCAATGGGTGGTGAAACAGAACATGGTTTGGGTATAGTTCTCTACTTAGTCCATTGTATATATGTTTGAGCACATGTTATTGCTTTCTCAGGTTTAATTTTCTGCAACCTTTTGTTATCCTGCTCCTTTCCTTGGCTGTTCGTCTGTTTTCAGCTGCGTATGGTGAGGGCACCATTCCCAAAAGGGGGGTGCGTGTAGCAGGGTACCTTATATTCTTCCTATAGTTATATCATTATTCATACATCATCATCATAATCATCTATATGTTCAATGTTTGTCTTGTCTACAGTTGAATATCAGTATCTAACTCTTTAAACAACTCAACACCCTTATTTTCAGTCTCTGGGAATCTCTCACCAGATCTTCCCCTTCAACCTTCTGTCTATCTTTAGACATTTTTTACACCTGTAGGGTTTCCCTCAGTCTATTTATATCTTGCATTAAGCACTTCCTTTGATGCTTAATGCAATCTGTCTTCTAATTGGCCACCCTGGTCCTCTACAGGTAGCTTCCTTCCATACCTGACTTCCTCCTCACTTCATGTGCTGCTGTTGAGGAGGAAGGACATTTTCTTTTCTTCAGGTATGGAATGGCCATATTTCAATCTGTTTTCATCTGCTTCTGTCAGAAATTAATATCTATATTAGGGTGCTGAATTAAATTGAATAATATATATATAATATCATTTAAAGTAATATTAAATTAGTAAATGGAATATTGATATTATAAAACTTGCTTGTAAAATAATTAACCACATGGTCCATTTTGGACCATGTGCTTTCCAAGTATCCTATAATGAACATATAACAGTAATTTAACATTAAAGTTAGTTTTAGTATAGTTTATCAATGGCTTTTGTACTTTTATATTTAAGATAAATAATACCTGTAAACTTGCAAATATATGACTTCATGTGCTGCTGTTGAGGAGGAAGGACATTTTCTTTTCTTCAGGTAGTTCTTCAACAGCAGCCACCCCCCTTGAAATAAATCCATTATCACCATCTGCCTGTGTCTGTGTTTCCCAACGGCCCGAGCCGGATAAATACCACTACCCCGGCTACACAAACATCGTGCAAAATCAAATACCCGTGCTGTCTCTGCCCTCTGCAGCACGTGTCTCGTGATAATCCGGAGCCCGCAGCTAGTACTTTCAACAATGGGATGTATTGCACCCCTTGTGTCTCTTACGCCACATTAATTTGATCTAAACTATCTAATAACAGATTTGTAGTGAGAAAACACTTACAGCAAGGATAAGATAGTAAAAGGTGCACAAGGGCAAGTCCGACAGTACTCCCCATTCACTCTCAAAGAGCACATTCCCAGGTGGTCTAGTGGTTAGGATTTGGCGCTCTCACCGCCACGGCCGGGGTTCGATTCCCCGTCTGGGAAGGACATTTTTTATTTTTCTTCCTGAATATTTATCTATTGAAAATGTCCCAAGACTACAAACTATTGCATTGACTAGTCAGGAAAGCTTGGGATTTGCATACACTCCATTTCCACCTAACCATAAACGTCACCACTAGTCGCCGGCACACAGGGCGTTGAAATGTTCTTTACAATCAAATGTCCTATAACAAACATCGTGCAAAATCAAATACCCGTGCTGTCTCTGCCCTCTGCAGCAGGTGTCTCGTGATAATCCGGAGCCCGCAGCTAGTACTTTCAACAATGGGATGTATTGCACCCCTTGTGTCTCTTACGCCACATTAATTTGATCTAAACTATCTAATAACAGATTTGTAGTGAGAAAACACTTACAGCAAGGATAAGATAGTAAAAGGTGCACAAGGGCAAGTCCGACAGTACTCCCCATTCACTCTCAAAGAGCACATTCCCAGGTGGTCTAGTGGTTAGGATTTGGCGCTCTCACCGCCACGGCCGGGGTTCGATTCCCCGTCTGGGAAGGACATTTTTTATTTTTCTTCCTGAATATTTATCTATTGAAAATGTCCCAAGACTACAAACTATTGCATTGACTAGTCAGGAAAGCTTGGGATTTGCATACACTCCATTTCCACCTAACCATAAACGTCACCACTAGTCGCCGGCACACAGGGCGTTGAAATGTTCTTCACAATCAAATGTCCTATAACAAACATCGTGCAAAATCAAATACCCGTGCTGTCTCTGCCCTCTGCAGCACGTGGCTCGTGATAATCCGGAGCCCGCAGCTAGTACTTTCAACAATGGGATGTATTGCACCCCTTGCGTCTCTTACGCTACATTAATTTGATCTAAACTATCTAATAACAGATTTTTAGTGAGAAAACACTTACACCAAGGATAAGATAGTAAAAGGTGCACAAGGGCAAGTCCGACAGTACTCCCCATTCACTCTCAAAGAGCACATTTCCAGGTGGTCTAGTGGTTAGGATTTGGCGCTCTCACCGCCACGGCCGGGGTTCGATTCCCCGTCTGGGAAGGACATTTTTTGTTTTTCTTCCTGAATATTTGTCTATTGAAAATGTCCCAAGAGTACAAACTATTGCATTGACTAATCAGGAAAGCTTGGGATTTGCATACACTCCATTTCGACCTAACCATAAACGTCACCACCAGTCGCCGGCACACAGGGCGTTGAAATGTTCTTCACAATCAAATGTCCTATAACAAACATCGTGCAAAATCAAATACCCGTGCTGTCTCTGCCCTCTGCAGCACGTGTCTCGTGATAATCCGGAGCCCGCAGCTAGT